CAACAACTATATATTGGTAGACATTATTTTATGAGTAGTCTTTTACTACAATATCACCCCGAGGTGTATTTCTCGTAAGATAATTTTTCCTTGTTCTAAATGTAAGAATTTTATTTACTCAAATACATTTTTATTCACAAGTTCTTCAAATATTTATTTTCTGATTGATTGTTTGGGAAGTGAAACTTTCAATTGAGTCAATTTATGAATCAAAATCCAAATAGGTGAACAAAGCATATAGAGGATTCTCAATGTCTTACCACTTTTAATTATTGAATGTTCTCTATTTTATATTGCATAATCTTAAAATTAAATTGTTCAAAAATCATAAAAACACTCATTTCTTTTCTTTGTTCAATTGCTTACCTCTCTAACGCTTTTATTCCACTAATCTTTTTTGTTTGTTTTTATCGCCTCCTCGTGGGATCGACCATCCTAATTGTGCTACAATTGACCGCTTGTTTATGCTCACGAAATTTGTGTTGTTCATTGATGTAGTCACTACATACGAATTAATCCTCCATAAACGGTTCATAATTAAAGCTAGGAATTTTCCGTTGACCTATTTAATTATATCTTTCTCCATAAGTACCATTGAGCCTTTAATGAATAATTTATTTTATGATCTAATTATAAAATTGAGCGCTCTTATTATTCAAGTCCCGAATCAACACTTATGGAAACCGTCCATCTACTTCATTATGAAGGAATGGATTTCAACTTGTAAATTAATATTCCTCTTAATATACCAAGGCTTTGACACAATTCATATGTGTCATTACTCAATATGTCAAAGAACATAATATCATAAATAGAACTCTATTAATTACTCAGAATTAAGACTAATTCATATATGACCATCATTGATTAATATTGAATGCTCTATTTAATAACAGAATTTATTAGGGATTCATAATTAATCGCATTCCAGTCCTATATAATCATATTACATAAAATGCTTTCATTCCAATAATCTCATTATTAACAATCTAGGATAAGATTGTTTCATTCAGAATGTAATGAACTGCATTAGTAATTTTAAATTAAAGATCCCAACTTTAATTTATAATTATAGACAAATTTAGATTATTTTACTTCAAACATTATCCTCTGTAAAAAAACACTTACATACACTTACATTTCATTGATAATCAGCAAAATATTTACATCTTATTTGATTTATGGGCATATACCCAAACAATCTCCCACTTGCCCTAAAGCAAATGAGACATGTCTCTAAGTCCCATACTCTCAAGATGTTTCTCAAAACTCCCATCTGGTAATGTCTTGGTAAACGGATTAGCTATGTTGTTCGCGGATGCGATATTTTCAACTGAAACGTCTCCTCTGGAAACAATCTCCCTGACCAGGTGGAATTTCTGCTCTATATGCTTTCCTTTGCGGTGGTTCCTGGGCTCCTTGGCATTGGCCACTGCTCCACTATCGTTCATGTGGCTTCAACTGACGAGATGTATAGGCTATCACACGTTCACCTTGCATCAAGACACAGCCAAGTCCACTCCCCGAGGCGCCAGAATACACCTCATATTGCCCCTCACCATCGGGTATAATCATAACTGGTGCGTTGGTTAGTCTTGCCTTCGATTCCTGAAAGGCATGTTCACACTCAGCATCCCATTCGAATCGAACTTCTTCCTAGTCAACCGAGTCATCGGTGCCGCAATGCTCGAGAAGTCCTTTACGAAACGCCGATAGTATCCTACTAGTCTGAGAAAACTGTAAATTTCTGCCACATTCTTCGGCCTTTCCCACTGTAGCGTAGTTTCGATCTTGGAAGGATCTACAAAAATTCCTTGTCCTGATATCACATGACCAAGGAACTTCACTTCCGTCAACCAGAAGTCGCACTTATCCTTTTTTGCATACAACTGGTGCTCACGAAGAGTCTGAAGAACAATTCTCAAATGTTGCTCATATTCTTCCCAAGTCTTCGAGTAAACCAGAATGTCATCGATGAAGACAATTACAAACTAGTCTAAGTAAGGTCAAAAAACCCAGTTCATTAGATCCATGAACGTAGTTGGGGCATTCGTCAACCCGAAAGGCATCACCACAAACTTGAAATGTCCATATCGAGTTCTAAAAGCAGTCTTCAGAATGTCTTCCTCCTTAATCTTCAGTTGATGATATCCAGGCCTCAAGTCAATCTTAGAGTAATACTATGATCCACCCAACTAATTGAATAACTCGTCAATCCTCGGCAGTGGGTATTTATTCTTCACAGTTACCCTTTTTCAATTAACGATAGTAAATACACAACCGAAGCGATCTGTCGTACTTCTTCACAGACAACACCGGTGCACCCCAAGGAGAAGTACTATTCCTGATATACCCCTTTTTCGCTAGCTCATCGAGCTGCTTTCTTAATTCTCTCATTTCAACAGGTGCCATCCGGTATGGAGGAATAGAGATAGGTGCCATTCCCGGAACCAAATCAATGCAGAATTCACTCTCCCGATTCAGTGGCAAACCAGGTAATTCATCAGGAAACACATCCGCGAACTCATCCACCATAGGAATCTCCGCATTGTCTCCAATTACCACTGGTTCACCTTCTAGAGCAAGGAGGAAAGAAAAGCATGCTAGATTCCTACGTCTCCCAACACTGTATTTCAACAGTCGTTCTCTCAAGATTGGATTCATATCTGCCTGATAAACAATCACCGCTCCGGAGTTTGTCACTAAAGTCACTTTTCTACGGTAGCAATCAATAATTGTACTGTATTTTGACAACCAATTCATTCCGAGTACCACATCAAACAGACTCATCGGAAGGATAATTAAGTCGCCTCTCAATTACTCACCCCCAAACGTGATTTCACACGATCTACACACACTCAACACCTACACACATCCCAGTGGGGAGTTCCACGTCATCGGGACTTCCAAGTTCTTAGATTTTAATTTCAACATTCGAACAAAAGAACTTGATATAAAAGAGTGTGTAGCACCAGTATCAAACAATACATGTGCAAAGGAGTGAGAGATCAGAATCATACCCTCAACCACCGTGTTGTTGGCCTGTCCTCCGGAATTACCTCCGGTTAGGGTATACGCTTGTCCTTACGCTTTCCCCTTTCCTTTATCACCAATATTGGGCCGTTGTGTCCCCGGCCTATATTGTTGCGGTGGAGGTACCTACACCGGTCTCGACACTTGAGGTTGAAACTATGAATATTGAGGCGGACGGTAGGTTGTCACATGAGGGTATGGCATTGACAGTTGCGGCTGATAAGGCGGCACAAACTGCGGTGGTCTTCCTTGACTGGAAGAAGCCTCACTCTAAGATTGCTGAGTCAGCGGCTGATTCCAATTTGGGCAATTCCTTCTAATGTGGACAATCTGCCCACAATAATGACATTTGGGGTTGTAGGGACCACTCCTGTCACTTCCCGATGAACTACTGCCACCACTGATCATTTTCCCGCTAATCTGTCCCTGATTGCGGTTTCTTCTACCACTCCGTTGTGGCCCGCCTGAAGCAAAGGGTCCACCAGAAGAAGAAACTCGACCAACTGCTTCCTTGCTTTGCTGATAGGCCAAATTATCTTGTTCCACGCTTGTAGTAGCAGCCACTAGGTCTCAAAAATTTGAAATCCTTAGAGCCACTAAGGGTCTCCTTACAGAATTCTTGAGACCTTTCTCAAATTTCAGGCATTTCAAATGCTCAGACTCTACAAGAGATGGCATAAAGCGGGACAAGTCATTAAATTTTGCCTCATACTCCCTCACCGACATATCACCTTGAAGCAAGGACATAAACTCCATTACCTTCTCATCCCTATAGCTCTGAGGGAAGTATTGTTCATTAAAGAGAACCTCAAACTGTTCCCAATTCATTTCCGCAACATTAAGTCTTATTTTTACTTGCTTCCACCAAGTACTTGCTTGACCATCCATCTTATACACCGTAAATTCCACCCAATACTCTTCCGGTATTCTCATGGTGTTCAAGTGCTTCACGATGGAATCAAACTAGTACTCTGCTTCCTAGGGTCCTCCTTCACTATTGAAGGTGCGGATAGGTGCATGCCTAGACTCCCGGAAGTAACTATGCTTCCTTTCCTCGTCCGGTTGCTCATTCTGAGCTCGAGTGGCCATGCCTTGAAAAGCAACATACATGGCATCCATGAGCTCCTGGTTCTGTGGTGCCGGTTGTTAACCGACCTACGACGCAGAGGCATCTCCTTTAATTGAAAAGAAACTAGACTGTTCAGTGGATTCTTGATGTCACACTTGTATGTACAATCCTGTGGTTTCTTAACCTAAGGCTCTGATACCACTCTGTCAAGCCCCGAAGCAGGGGTCGGTGACGTGGAGCTTGATTAGGGGTTAAACGCATTATAATAAAGGAAATTCCCAGCGAGCCCCACACTTAATTAAAATAAATTACAGGATCTATCCACAGGATCTTTCAGTATCGTACATACATGACATGTATATAAAACATTACAGACATCAACCACAGTCTAGAAGTCCAAATATAAGAGTTTATAGAAGTTACACTTCCTTACATTTATATATCAAAAGGATGAACACAATCCTCACTTGATCGAATGATATCAAATAATCCAGCTACTCCGCACCGCTCCTAGAGTCGCCTGGGAGGGGTTTACATTTATAAAACAATAAAACGTGAGCGAAAAGCCTAGTAGGATATAATTTGAAATAACTTTACAAATAAATGACTAAATGGATAAGCGAGTAAATAAATAAATGAATAAGTAAATAAATAAGACATTCAGTTCTAACACAACAGCCGGAACCTCACATCCTTTTTCTCAAAAGAACTATATCAGAAAATATCCATATTACAGACATCAACAAGTAATTTATACTATGATAAATTACTTACACAACCACGTGCACAAGCCATATCACTCCCGGGCCGGGTTTCGGGTTCTGCCCCCAAGGATGCACTCTCCACATCCTATCTTGGCCATCAGCCGGTTTACCGATTCGTAAGATCTCTTATCTTAAGAAATCATTCATTAAACTTTCTAAAATCGTTCATTATAATCTCATAAACTACAACATGTCATGAGTCCCATGAACTACAACAAGCCATGGTTGGTCCTATGTACTACAACAAGCCATGGGTACCATGAACTACATAAGCCATGGGTTTTAAAGACTTTTCTTTCGCAAACAAGTCCCTTTCTTTAAAACATTTGCAAGGCCAAAACTCTTTTAAAATCAGGCTCACAAGGAAAAGGGTAATAAATCCTACCTCAAAAATATTAAACCTGTGGCTAACGGTGCACTATTTCGGCTTCCGCTTCGTCAAGCCACTCAATCCAAGTCCTCAGCTAGCACTGATACAAGACAACACTTTAGGATTCAATTCTCATTCCTAAAGCAATTCAGTCTCAATTATATCCCTTGATTTCCTATTAGTATGCCATAATTCAATTACCGGTTCCACAAACCATTTCATGTTTCAAATCATCATTCCAAGGGTTTTCAATCTCAAAACATGGATTGAAGATGCCAATCTATCTACTCTAGGTCCCCAAATGAAGCTAATTTAGGTCCTCCATGAAAACTGAGGTCAAAACAGCATTTTCAGGCCAAACAGGGTCAAACCCCGTGTACACCGGTCAACCAGTGACAGAGCAATGCAACACCACCGGTCGACCGGTGGTGTGTAATCCGGTCGACCGAATAGGTCGACTGGTGAAGCCAATGCAATTCGGTCGACCGCACAGGTCGACCGGTGAAGAATACCAGTGCGATAAAACTCACAAAATCAGTTCAAAAACCTACAAATCTAGTCCCAAATCAAAATATCTCAAGGGACAACCACTAGATCCGGGTTCTAGGCACTAAATCAAGTCCAAAGAACCCAAGATCTCCAATTTCTACCATAGTTTTACTCAAAATCCATCAAAATCCATTTCGAACCAAAAATAAGTTTTTAAATCTGAAAAGCTTGAGATGCAAGAGAGGTTTTCAGAAATCTTACCTCAAATCCTTCTCTTGATGTTGGAAACTCTTTGAAATTCCTCTTTGGTTTGAGATCCGGTTGATTTTGGAGCAAAAACGGGAGAGAGAGAGAGAGTGAGTGTGAGAGAACGAGAGAGTGATAGAGTGAAAGAGAGAGAGTGCACGGGAAGGACGAAGGAAAGAAAAGGAAAAGGAAGGAAAAAGGAAAAAGAAAAAGAAAAATGGACAGGTATCCAATATTTAAAATGACAGTCTAGAAATGTGCCCATACACACTTTTGGGTAAAAATATAAATATTGAGAATATTTAAATACCTTAGAATTATTCAACTCTACACGTCAGAAATATTTATTTATTAATAACTAATTAATTTATTCAGATCAGGCACACTAATAGATCTTAATTACCTTAATTAATCTCATTTAATTCTTCTGGGTGTTACAAAAGTATAGCCATTGAAGTCAGGCTTTCGGGTCGGCGGTCGGGCCGGGCAACAACGGTCAAAAAACTAGCCGTTGACATAGGGCCCCGCCCGCCAAGCCCGAAAAAATTCAGGCTTCAAGCAGGCCTACCGCCCAAAATTTTAGCACTACCTCAGAGTTTTTTCAAGGGTTAATTTTAATTTTGGCACCCCAAGGAATAGGAGGTTGTCTCACTTTGTCCTTAGAATTTAAAATGTTGTAAAGCCGCCCTCTTAATCTTCATTTGTTATAACTTTGGTATGTTTGTCATGGATGTAAATTATGCCATGTCGTGCTGGCCCGGCCCACAATCAGTTAAGCCCATACATGCTTCGTGTCGTGCTCTGTCTGACCTACTGAAACTTCGTGATGCGCTCATGCTAGCCAAAGATTTAAAATCATAGGCCTGGCTTGGCCCATGGGCCCAAGCACATTCATGCTCGTGCTCATGCTTCATTCCCATAAATGCCGAATATGAGTTCTTCGTTTTAAAAAATGCCTACTTTCTTCTATATTTACAAAACTATCAACTATCATACATATAAAAACATTTATACCTTTATATAATAAAAAGGGAGAAAAATAATGAAACAACAAAATAGAAAAGAAAATGAAACAATATCTGAATATAAAGTTTAAACACAAAAGTCAAAATATTGCATTCAATAAAATCTAATTAATTATTTTAAAAAAGAGAAAGTTTCTTTATGAAAAAAGAAAGAAAATCCATTGAATATTTTTAAAAATCTCACCCTTAAAACAATCAACATGCACGTTTTCATGAGCACATAATAGATCGTTTCATTATTGTAATGATTCTAGAATTATGAAAAAGAATGAATATAAAGTTTGAGATGATTCATATTAAATCAGCCACTAAAATAAATGTATTTTTGAGTGGACGGGAAAACAAAAAAAAAATGTATAAAACCAATACATATTTTCACTAACATTATGATCAGATCATAATAAAACAAAATTTCTAATAACGAAGAAACACTAAAATGAAGTCATCAACAAAAATTTTATTATATCAGAAATTATGGTAATGATGTAATATAGGCTATAGACATGCAAAAAATAAAAAATAAAAAATAAAAATCTCTTGCATTTTCATTATCTTAATGACAATATCATATCAGAAATTATGGTAATGATGTAATATAGGCTATAGACATGCAAAAAATAAAAAATAAAAAATAAAAATGCATTTTCATTTCATTATCTTAATGACAATATCATTATTAAAAAGAATGAATACAAAATTTATAAATAATTAAACAATTAAAATGCACAAAAAACATGAGTTTACACTTTATATATTTTTATTGTGTGAAAGAAGGTGAAACATATGGTAAAAATATAAAAACAACAAATAAAAAAATCTATCGTAATTTTATTATCTTAATGAGAATATCATTATGAAAGAAAAATGAGTACAAAATTTGCAAGCAATCCAAAACAAACAAAAAATGCATGAAAACATGAGTATATTTTTATTTATTTTCGTTATGTTAAAGAAGAAGAAAATTATCATGAACATATAAAATGAACTATGGACTAGGAAACAAAACAACAAATAAAAAAAAACTTTCGCATTTTCGTTGTCTTTATGAAGAAGAATACAAAACTATAATATAGAAACAACACGAAAAAAAAAATCAACCACACTCATAATTACATAAAATTAATTACTATAGAAAAACCTCAAACTATGACGGGGACAAGTACCATAGAATGAGCGAGGCTCCGTTTAAGCAATCCTTCCCAGACCGGTCCACTATCAGCCATTTTTTTTCGGCTCAAGCACCAAGACCAACAAAAGTTGGGTATAATGCTTTCCAAGATGAAGCCGAAAACGATGAATAAAAACAATAAAAGTAAACTAAATCCGGCTAAAAATAGAATACACCACACACAAAAAAAAAAAAAAAAAAAAAAAAAAAAAAAAAAAAAAAAAGAGGGAAATCATCTGATTGAAAAATACCAAAATAAAAATACATCAAATAATTGATTACAGACAATCAATTAGAGATAAAAAGGAAAGTAAAAATGGGAAATATTATGAGAAAAACAAAAAGATTACATAAAACAAAAATTAACCATATATAAACATACCCAAAATAACTCCTAAGGACATATTTGGTAACATATATGCCTTAATCGACATTTCTGTAATATTGTATAATAATTGATATTTTTAAAATTATGACTTCAATAATAGGCATTTTGTGCAACTACTTTCCTGTTTTTATTGTGCTTGGCACTATGGAGTTTTGGGCCGGCCCATTAGATCATTGAGTCGTTTAAAATTATTTTTTTTGTGATAAAAAAATAATTTTTAAACAATTTTTAGATGATAAATAATTCAAATAAAATGATTTTATATGGAAAAATTTTAATGGCACTCTTTCTGTCACTTTATGCATTCATTGTTTGACACGTGGACTCCACTAATAAATATATTATTGTTTGATAGAAAATAAGATAATGGAGTCCACGTGTCCAACCGTGAATGCAAAGTGTGACAAACAGAGT